TATCCTGCACAAATGAAGACGAAAGAAAGACATTTCATGTTAAAGAAAACTAGGAGACTTCATTGTCACCAGCTCTAGTGCGAGAGGAAATTCTTCAGGCAGATGGGAAGTGACACCGGAAGGAAGTTGGAACTCACAAATGAAGAGCAACAGAAAGGATAAGTACCGGGTAAATAGACTATTTCTCTCTCCCTGAGTTCTTTAAAATATGCTCGATGGTTAAAAACAGTAATGATAACACTGACTAGTGGGGTTTTCCATGTGTGTTGATGTAACAAATATAACAACTACAGCATAAAGGAGAGAGGGTAATGGAACTTACATGGTGGTAATATATCACTTGAAGTGGCAAATATTGAATTTACATAGACTATGAAAAGTTAAGTATGTATATTTTAATCCCTAGAACACTTAAAAATTCCACAAAGATATATATAATAAAAATGCACTAGATAAGTTAAAATGGAAAACTAAAAAAATGTTTAAATAACTTAAAGCAGGAAAAGGGATAATCCAATAACTAAAAGTAGAAAGACAAATAGAAAAACACTTTCCCAAATAATAAAATGGTAGACCTAAATCCTAAATAGTAGTAATTACATTAAATGTAAATGGACTAAACACACTATTTAAAAGACAGGTTGTCAGAACAGATTTTTTTAAAAAACTCAATTATATATTGTTTATAAGAAACTCCTTTTCAAATATAATCACGTAGGTAGGCGAAAAGTAAAAGACGGAAAATCTGATTCACTCATCAGAAGAAAGCTGGAGTAGCTGGAGTAACCTTCAAAGCACAGGAAGTTATTAGGAATAAAAATGAACAATCAGAGTGATAAAAGGGTCAATTCATCAAGATATACAACCCCAAATGGGAATACGCCAAATAAAAGAGCTTGAAAATGCATCAAGTAAAAACTAACAGAAGTAAAATAAGAAATAGACAAATCCACAGTAATAGTTGGAGACTTTGACATTCCTCGCTCAGAACTGATAGAACTAGCAGTCAGGAAACCAGCAATGGCAGAGTATAGAAAACTGAAAAACGACAAACAACTCTAATTGACATTTATAGAACAATCCACCCCAAAACAACAGAATGCACATTCTCAAGTGTATATGGAACCTTCACCAAGATAAACCAGATCCTGGGTCCTAATATACATTTTTAACATCTTTGAAGAGTTTAAATCATACGAAATAGGTTCTTTCACTATAATGAAGGTAGAGTAGAATAATAACAAGATGAATGGAAAAATTCAATCCCTTGGACGTTAAATAACACACTGCTAAATAATCCATGAGTCAAGGAGGAAGTCTCAGGGAAGTTAACAAATATTTTGAACTGAATGAATATCAAAATATAAAATTTGTAGGCTGCAGGTACAGTAGTACTCAGAGGGAAATTTATACAATTAAAATGCTCATATAGAAAAGAAAAAGTAAGTCAATTGTCTGAGCTGCTACCTTAAGAAATTAGAAAAAGAAGAGCAAAATAATCCCAAAACAAGCAAAAAAAAGGGTGTGTGTATAATACTAGAAAATATAAATCAATGACATTGAAAATTTCAAAGACAATAGGGAAACATCAATGAAACCAAACCCTGGTTCTTTGAGAAGTTCAATGAAATTGATAATTACCTAGGGAGACAGATAGAGAAAGAGAGAGAACATGAATTACCAGCATTGGGAATGAAGATGGATTATTGCTACAGACTGCTCATGAACTTGGCAATTCAGATACAACGGACAAATTCTGCAAAAAACAAACAAACAAAACCCACAAACTACCCAAACTCACTCCAGATGAAATATAGGTAGGTTGAGTAGCCCCGTGACTACTTTAGAAAATTTGAAATTACAAATCTTTTGTAAAAGAAATCCCAGGCTCAGATGGTTTCACTGGCTACTTCTACCAAATATTTGAAGAAGGAACACAATGAATCCTACACAGTCTCTTCTAGAAAACAGAATCGGAGGGAACACTTCCCAAATCATTTTCTGCTGCCAGCATTGCCCTGATGCCCAAACCAAAGATGGTACAATGAAAGTACAGAACAATCACCCTCATGAGCACAGATGCGAACATCCTCAATAAAATACCAGCAAACATCCAGCAAGACACAAGCTGGCGAAGAGATGTTCAACATCCTTGACTATTAGAGAAATTCAAGTGGAGTCCTGGTGAGATATAACTAAGGATCTAGAATGCTGTAACGAACAAATACTGACAACACCGTGCACCCACGGCAATGCAAAGCGATCGGAACTCCCGTGCGCAGCCAGCTGGGGATGCCGAGTGTCACAGCCACTGTGGAGACCCCACGGCAGCTCCTTACCGCATCTGACCCGGCCACCCCACTCCTAGCTATTTACCCAAGAGGATGGAGAGCTTAGTTCACACTAAAGCCTGTACCTGAATCTTTACAGAAGTTCTAGTCATAATCTTCAGGAACTCAAAACAATCTGTGTCCTTCGGCAGGTGAATGGGCACCTCGCTGTGGAATACCACTCAACTGAGCAATAAAAAGGGATAAACTATTGCCCGGCCGGCGTGGCTCAGTGGTTGAGCTTTGACCTCTGAACCAGGAATTCACAGTTTGATTCCCCGTCAGGGCATATGTCCAGGTTACAGGCTCAATCCCCAGTGTAGGGCGTTCAGGAGGCAGCTGATCAAAGATTCTCTCTCATCATTGATGTTTCTATCTCTCTCTCCCTCTCCCTTCCTCTCTGAAATCAATAAAAAAATATTTTTTAAAAGAAGGGATACACTATTGACACACACACATTGGATGAATCTTGAAGGCTTTGAGCAAACTCAAAGAAGCCCATCTTGGAAGTTCTATGTACTGTATGCTCCCATCCTGTCTAATAAAGAGGGAATATGCTAATTGACCCTCATACCATCACAAAGATGGTGGCGCCCACAGCCAATAAGGAAGAAATATGCTAATTGACTGCCTCGCCCTCAAAGATGGCAGCGCCCAGTCCCCTCAGCCCGCCTTGCTGCATGCCTGCCTCTGGAGTTCCCCAGTCCCCTCAGCCTCCCAGCCACCCAGGGCCATCCGAGGTGCAGGCAAGCCTTGAATGGCAGCTGCCCAGCTGCCCAGGGCCACCTAAGACTCAGGTAACCAGGGCCAGCCGAGGCGTGCGCTGCCAGCAGTGGCAGCAGCAGAGGTGTGATGGGGTGTCGCCTCCCGCCCGAGGGCTCCTGGACTGTGAGAGGGGGCAGGCCGGGCTGAGGGACCCCCCTCCAGTGCATGAATTTTCATGCCCCAGCCTCTAGTTTATAAAGAATAAAAACAAAACTAGTGACAGAGGCAAGTCAGAGGTGTCCAGGGGTGAGAGGATCATGAAGACAATGTTGTAATTTCCTCACTCAAGTTCATGGACCATGGGAGAAGGTCTGTGGGCCCCAGGTTAGATCCCTATCCTGCGCTAGCAACTGTGTAGAAATTGCGTCTTTTTTGTTTATCCTTCAGCCTCATAGGATGGACTGGCATGTAACAGGCACTCAATGATCTGGTGAATCAAAGAATGAATGAAAGAACAAACCTGAACATATAACAATGCACTGGGAGACTCTAAAGACTTTAAGAAAAATGGACGCATTTTGTTTAATCCAATATACGGTCACTGTTGATCATTACAAACTGGACTCTTGCTAATGACCCTCTAAAGGTGCCTCTGTGGTTGGACCACTGACCAAGTTCTGTCTCGTGCTGTGGTGCCTGCTCTGTTTCTGAGCATCTCCAGCCTTCATTCCGTAGCGCGGAGGCAATGGAATACGCAGACCCATTCTCTGGAAACTTCCGCTGTCGTCACTGGAGATGGTCATGACTGACTGCCCAAAGAGTCCACATTGGAACCCGTGTTTGAGGCTTTCAGGCCCCGGGAGACAGGACTCGGTGGGTGCCGGGCTGGGATAGCAATGAGATTCTGCAGTGGGCTCACCCCTGGGGTGAGGGGCGGAGCAGGGCACGCACAGGGAGGTACTCTGGGAAATTCACAGAGACCTGGAAACTGGAGTTGGCACTGGAACCAGAGAGCCCTCCTGAGCAGCCAGGAGCAGGGCCGGCCGCTAACCCAGCCAGCAGAGGGCCCGGAGGTTGTGTTGACCTGAGGAGATGCTCCGCCAGAGGTCCTCAAACTTTTTAAACGGGGCCCGTTCCCTGTCCCTCAGACGCTCCACACATGCGCACTGCGGGCCCGGGACGAGTCGGCTGCTAAGCAGGACATGCAGCGGCGGCAAAAACACCCGCGGGCCGGATGCATGTTTTCGGCGGGCCGCATGGGGCCCGCGGGCCGCAGTTTGAGGACCCCGGTGCTACACTGACTGACCCCGTGTACCAGCAAAGTCCTTGGCGGTCCCGAGAGCTTAGACCCGAATAAAGGATAGGAAAAGGCTAACGCTGGACTTCATGACGGGAAGTCCAACAGGCCCTGGATTGCAAGAGCCACCGTGATTGGACAATAAGGAAGGAAGACCGCGGCCAACAGGCTGCGAGCGGTGCCTTGGGCGGCGGCCGTCAGCCCTCCTCCCCCCAAGGGGTGCCGGGGAGGCAGTCTCCCCGCGGGGGAGGCCCCGCCCGGCCTGACTGTGTGGCCATCTTCTTGCTGAGCTTCCTCAGGCCCGTGGCGGTTCCTCTGCAAGGAGGTGAGGACTGGCGGTCACTCCTGTGACAAGTTGCCCTCACATCACTGCGCGCCCCACTGCGGGCCCTGCCTTTCTGAGTACCGAACAGCGCGTCACTCCCGTGCAGAGTCGCAGGGAAGCTTCCGAGGACATTTCTAACTGCAGTTCAGCTGGCAGGGGAGACGGCCGGCGTGGCTCAGGGGTTGTGTGTGGACCTATGAACCGGGAGGTCACGGTTCGATTCCCGGTCAGGGCACAGGCCTGGGTTGCGGGCTCCATCCCCGGTGTGGGGCATACAGGAGGCAGCCAATTAGTGATTCTCTCGTCATTGATGTTTCTATCTCTCCCCTCCCTTCCTCTCTCTGAAATCAATTATACACATATGGGCTTGCAGGTTAAACTCACGGATGTGTATACCTCCCCGCAGTGAGGACAGCATGGACAGCCACGACCAAACCGGCGGTGGGCCCAGGCGACAGCAGCGATGTCATGACGGCCACTTGGCGACTGGCTCCTAAAGGGAAGGTGCCATTGACTGACACATCCGGACTCGGAGCCGCTGAGCTGTGAGTGCTGCCCCCGGGCCGGTAGCTGCGGCACTGCCGTCCGAGGCGGGTGACGTGAGAGCGGGTTCTGCCCTGAGGCATGCTCTCGGACGTCCTGTCCACCAGGGAATGTTCCAGGGCTACACCGAGCGCCGGCTCGATGACCCCCCGGGCCACACAGAGCTCACACTGAGCACAGAGAACGAGGCGAGTGGGCCCCCAGAAGGAAGCCGCCCTGTGTGAGGAGCGGGGGCGGGGGGCTGGGAGGCGGCCTCACGGGGCGGGCCCAGGTGCATCGTGGTCTGAGCTGAGCCCTCTCAGACCTGCCAGTTTCTAACGAAGTCAGCATTGGCACTGTGGTCGCTGAGCGTCATCGCTAGGTCGCCAGTCCGCCCGGGGCCGAGGGGCCTCCCGGTGCGGGACTTTCAGCCCTGAGACCGCAGTCCCAGCCCCCGGCGCAGGCGGTCGCCGACAGCGGCCTCTCACTCAGCGCCCTTTGACTTTAACGTTTATGACGCCGTTTCCACGCCTCGTGAGTGATCCTAAGCCTGCACCTGTGACTCACATGTTCTCTCACTTCCTCTCTCCTGCTGTCACAAGAGCAGGCCATGGGCACGGATGACTCGGTCTCACGCTCACTGCAGCTTCGCGCTCAGCAGAGCTGGCTCGGCTCCCGCCTGCATTGCTGCGGGGCTGCGATGGCGGGTCAGGTGGCTGCGCCGGAGGAGGCCGCTCCTGAACAGCCAGAGGACAGGGTGACGGGGGGCCTGTCCACAGACCCTTGGGCTCTCAGAGAAGGTGGTGACTCCTAACAGAGGCGAGATGGCAGGGAAGCGACTTCCTTCCTTCCTTCCTCCCTCCTTCCCTTCCCTTCCCTTCCCTTCCCTTCCCTTCCCTTCCCTTCCCTTCCCTTCCCTTCCCTCCCCTCCCCTCCCCTCCCCTCCCCTCCCCTCCCCTCCCCTCCCCTCCCCTCCCCTCCCCTTCCCTTTTCTTTTCTTTTTAAAGAGATTTTTATTGATTCCAGAGAGGAAGGGAGAGGGAGAGGGATAGGGAGATAGAAACATCAATGATGAGAGAGAATCACTGACCGGCTGCCTCCTGCACACCCCGCACTGGGGATGGAGCCCACTACCCGGGCCTGTGCCCTGACCGGGAATCGAACTGTGACCTGGTTCAGAGGTCCACGCTCAGCCACGGAGCCACCGGCCGGGCGGAAGCTGCTCTTTTTTTCAACATGATTTTTCTCAGATAAACAATACGCACCCGAGGTGCAGAGGAGGAGCGGTTTTCTTTGTCCTTGGAAAGCGTTGCGTGAAGACGGCACAGCGCCGTCCTTCGTGCACGGAGCCACGGAGCCACGGAGCCACGCGCTGGGCCTTCTCTGCTGGTCCGAGGGCGCACTGCGCTCAGCTGCGCAGGCTTTCCTGGCGTTAGAAACAAACCGTTTCTCTCTAAGAAACAGGACTGTTCTTGGCTTTCCCTCCAGGCCCGGGGCCCCCACGTGGGGAAGTCGTTCTCGTGGGCGCCTGCGAACGTGGTGATTAGCTGTCCGTGGCCTTACGGTTTCGTTCGTTTTCAGGAGCCCGCGGTGAACGCATGTCTGACCTCTGCCTTCGGGAGGGGACGCCGGGCACGGCTCACACAACCCATCACCCTCCAGAGCGCGGTGCGCCTTTCCTGCCCTCCTACTCCGTCCCGGGCCCTTCCCCACCCGCTCCGGGCTCGGCTCCGTCTCCAATGACTGACTGTACTGAACGCCATGGCCGGTCTTAGACGCGCTGGGACCTGAACGAAGCCATCAGACTCTCCACTGATCACTCCATTCACTCCTCAACCTATTGTAAAACTTTAGCTCAAATGGGCCGAGGAAATAGAGTGCGCGCGCACATGTGTGTGTGTGTGCATGTATGTGTGCGTGTGTGTGTGCGTGTGTGTGTGTGCGTGTGTGTGTGTGTGTGTGAGCAGAAGAGGAAGAGACCCCAAAAGCCTTAAAATGGAGTGAAAGTTGGAGTCGGCATCTAAACGAGGTTTGCTTCCCGGGCGACGCTGTTTGAAAGCTCAAAGCTCAATCTGTCAAAAATAGATTTCTCTCCCTTTCCAAGTGTGGCAAACAGAGCCACACGCCTCGCCCAGACTCCTGCCTCTCACCCCAGAGGGTTTCTTTGGAGGAACCAACAATCCCTTGGACGGGAACCCTGGACGGGCCGGCATCATTTTGGGATTTGGGCGGTTGCCGGTGCCTGGCAGCCCCGGTAGAGTGACAGTCAGCGGCTGGACGGAACGCGAGAAAGCTGATCCCGTCGCTGGCTCAGGCTCTTCGTGGACAAGAGACAAGGTGAGTTGCTGCCTGCGCTGCCCCTTTGTTTCTGAGAAAGGTCATGGCAGCTGCCATCAGATGGGGTGTCCCCCTGGGACACAGCAGGTCCCTTCCCTCACCTCTGGGCGCATCCACTTGAGGAAGAACTGAGCCATGTCTGCCTGTGCCCCGGGCCCCTTGAGGGCGAGATTTGGAGGACGGCTGTGGGGGGTGAGATGGGGGACGGCTGTGGGGGGTGAGATTGGAGGACTGCTGTGGGGGGTGTGATGGGGGGACTGCTGTGGGGAGGGCGAGATTTGAGGACTGCTGTGGGGGGAGATTGGGGGACGGCCGTGGGGGGTGAGATGGGGGGACGGCTGTGGGGGGGTGAGATGGGGGACTGCTGTGGGGGGGTGAGATTGGGGGACGGCTGTGGGGGGTGAGATTGGGGGATGGCGGTGGGAGGGTGAGATGGGGGGACTGACTGTGGGGGGGTGAGATTGGGGGACGGCGGTGGGGGGGTGAGATTGGGGGACTGCTGTGGGGGTGAGATTGGGGGATGGCGGTGGGGGTGAGATTGGGGGACTGCTGTGGGGGTGAGATTGGGGGACGGCGGTGGGGGGGTGAGATTGGGGGACTGCTGTGGGGGTGAGATTGGGGGACGGCGGTGGGGGGTGACATTGGGGGACTGACTGCTGTGGGGAGAGAACAACCGCTCCGTTGTCAGGTTTCCTGCACTTTTCGCCCAGAGGCCGGCTGCCCCGGGCGCAGGGGGAGCTGAGCGGAGCCTCTGCTCCAGCAGCGTTTCCGCGGCTCCCGGCTGCTCCTTCATGGAAAATTCCATCCCTGGACGCCGGGCTGGGATGTCACCACCGCTGAAACCCTAGCCGGGCCCCGGCCTGAGCTGCAATGGGAGCGAGCCAGGGAGACGGGGACGCGCACCCACATAAAGGGAGGACTGAGCGAGGGCAGTGACCCGAGAGCAGCCGGCCACGAGCCCCAGGGGGTCAGAAAAGCTCCCCGTTTCCCGTCTGTAGGAGCAGAAGGGAAGTCCGTTTACAATGTTAAAAATGATCAAACATGTTTAACCTTCACCCTGGTAACTGAACTGGGTGAGGCATTGGAGGCTTATCATTCCAGCGCCTGTGCTTCTGCATCTTGTGGGAAGTTGTAATGACACAAAGCTTTTTAGAATGTGTTTCCTTCTGTCTCTCAGAACCATTCCCCATCCCCCGAGGGTATCAGCACGCAGGCGCGGCGGGGGGCTGCTCTGCAGAGCAGGGGCTGCTCCACTGGGCATGCGCGTGGGTGGGCCTCCGTGACCGCAGCCGAGCTGCAGCCCCACTGCGTGTCAGAGCCGTGCAGCCCCGCGTGGCCTTTATGCTCAGCCTCGTGTCTTCAGCCCGCATCCCGGATGGACCATCTGTTCAGACGCCGGGATTCATGTGCACAATGCAGTCAGTTGCCCGGTGACATCTTCACTTTATCTTATAAAAATAAATATGTAATATAAATATGAGGCTTGAAAGATATGGTCTTTTGTCCTTAAAATCTGTCCCCCCGAGATGCTCCGGGACCTCAGAAGCTTAGCGTCACAGAAAGAAAAGGGAGAGACAACCATGTCCAATTTGGTTTTCATTTATAAAGAACAAACGATGGCACCGATTCTTCCTTAAATGGGATGCTGGGCTGTGTCTGTCCCCTTCTCTGAGGCCACGCTCTCCTGGGAGGCGGGTGGAGCGCGCTGAGCCCAGTGGCGGGAGTGGGAAGGGGAGTGGGAGAGGCGGGAACCAGGGACTGCGGGTTCGGTTTCGGTTACACCAGCGTCAGCAGAGACAGAGTTAAGGTGGGCTGTGAGCGGGGAGAGGTGGATGGGCAGGGAGGGGTCAGGACTCCCCCGTGACGAGGGAGAGGGTGGACGGCAGGCAGAACTGGCCCCGGGTTCGGGAGCTGCTGTTCCGGCCCCTCCCTCCCCCCTTGCATTGGGTCGCCCTTAGACTCGGCCCGGTGACAGACACACGTCATGTCGCCTTTTCCTTTCTCTGGCCCCAGGTGGGCAGCTGACCAGAGGCCTTAGGGTGACCATGGGGATGGAGTAGAAGGTGAGCTGGACCCACCTGACATGGCCCTTTAAGGAACCCCTGTGTGCTCGTGAGGCCCGTGTGGGGGGAGGCCCTGCTGGGTGTGACCGCTCACATGTCCTCAGACCTAATGCTGGCAGCCAGCTTCCTGGGGGGCTCAGCACTTCCTTCGGGGTCTGCTGTGCATTTACTCACGTCTCCTCTTGTGCCACATGGATGGTTGTCACTGTGTCGAGCGGCTGGCTGTGGAGAAGGCGGTAGCCCCGGTGGAAGGAGGTGATGGACGATGGCCTGACGAATAGCTCCGTAGACCAAAGAGGGCTTGAGGCGTAATTGCCGCTGCCAGTTACCTCTGTTTGCACCCGGACAATCAGTGACTTGTTCTCATTAATGGTGGGTCACCTTCCAAAAGGAAGGAAAGAGGCCAAAATATCAGGAAGGGGGTAAAAACCCAGTGTCTTCGCTCCCCACCTCATTATCCTGATAATCACACAGGCTCTGTGCATGAGACGGGCAGCCTCCCCCGCGGCTGCCTCTGTCCCACAGTGACCTCAGCAGGAGGCTCCGCCGGGGAGAGGCTGGGAGGAGCCGGCGACAAGGGGGATCGGGCCCCAGCCATGCGGGGGTGACCATAGTTCTCAAGGCCGATTCTAGGCTGGGGCCGGCGCTGGCCTGCTAGGCTAAGGCTCAGGTAACAGCCCAGGGGCCTCCAACTCCCGGGAAGATTGGCGCCTGATGAGCCCGGGAACAGGTGAAAGGGCCTGACTCCATCTGCCACAGTAATTGCTGGGGTCGGGCTTCATCGGGAGCTGGAAACAGCGAATGCGCTGCAGCCGGGATGCAGCTAACCCCGGGCTCAGCTGGGACTGCGTATAAAACAGACCGACTCTCCAGGAACACAAACAAGGAGGGATCGGAGGTGGGGGTGCCGCTGCCCTGCGTGGGGAGGCGGGGCAGTGAGCCTGCCGCGGGGGCGTACCTCCGTCCCTGTGGCCCGCTGTCCCTGCAAAGTTAGTAACAGTGCCTCCCTTCACTCTCAAAAAAAGTCGCAATTCGGACTGTAAGTTACGTGGTTGCTGTAGTTCAATGTCGATTTTAAGTTGCCTTTTAAGAACGTACTGCTGGACGGCAGTCTAGGTTGAGCTGTGTCCCCACAGAGAGGCTAGTCCTGCCCCCGGGAGCTGGGACGTGGCCTTGTTTGGAAGGAGTGGCCTTGCAGACGATGGAGTTAATTTGAGGTCATCACGGTGGCCCCAGCCAGTGTGACTGTTGTCCTTAAAAGCCGGGGACACTCAGACCCAGACGTGCACACGGGGACAACGTTGCGCGATGATGGAGGCGGAGACTGGGGCGATGCTGCTACGAGTCAAGTGGCCGAAGATCTCTCAGTGAGGAGTCGGGAGCAGAGCCTTCCAGATCCTTCTGGATCCTTCCTCCCAGCCTCAGGAGGAACCAGCCCATGGACACCGTGACCTCGGACCTCCGGCCTCTGGACCGTGAGCAATACGTTTCTATGGTTTGAAGCCTTGTCCACGGTGGGGTTCTGCTATGGCAGCTCCAGCCAACGACGTCATGTGGGTGCTGGTCCCTGAGCGTCTGGACACTCACGGCCCCGTTTGCACGGTCCCGGGTTCCCAGGAAGGAGCCTTTGGGCGCAGGGGGTCGGGGGTGGGTCCATGACGGGCCCCCTTCTCAGTTCCGGGAGAAGCGGGGGAGTCAGAGGTGGTTCCTGGGCTCCAGGGGCCAGCAGTTTGGTGGGGAGGGAGGCCGTGCGCTGGCCTTGCGCCTGACGGGTGACCTGTGAATCTGTATCGCGTGGGGAGGATGAGGACCCGAAGAGCAAGGGCTACGTGGATAATAGGAGGGGGTGCGGAGTACACTGGGAGGAGCCAGGAGTGCCCAGGCTTCCACACCAGGGAAACCCCAGCAGGAGCCCTTTCTCAGCCTCATCGCCTCCTTCATCCCGGGGGGTGGGGGGGAGCGGGCGGGGGGAGATCGCCCTGACTGTAGGCCAGGCCCCAGCTGGGGGGCGGGTTCCAGCGGCCCGACACTGGGAGGCAAATGCCAATCAAGCAGCTGAGGGCCAGGGCTGGGGAAGGGGGTGTGAACAACGGAGAGCAAGGCCCACTTCCTTCCCGAGAAGCCGCCTGGGGAGCCCGCGGGGGGATGGGAGGCACGGAAAGTCCATCCCCGGTGGGAAGAGGGCCGTTCGGTCCGGTCTCTGGCCAGGGTTTCCAGGGCCCGGCCGTGGGAGGCCACACGGTGCGGAAGCCCAGCCTTCCTGCCGTGCGCTGGCTGCTGTGGCCCCGGGCAGGCGGGCGGGCCCGGCTGCTGTCCAGGGACATGCAGACATTCCAGAACCTTCTGCGCAGCACCTCTGTGACGACTGCTCCCTCGAGGCCCATGTCCCGCACCCTCGGACCTGGTTCCAGGGCCAGCCCTGGGTGCCATCTTGAATTTGGGCTTCGTCCCCTAGACAGGGATCTGAGGAAATAATAAAATCAATAACCAATAGACTCACTCCAGCCTGGCTGGTGCGGCTCAGTGGCTGAGCATCGACCTATGAACCGGGAGGTCCCGGTTCCATTCCCAGGCAGAGCACAGGCCCGGGTTGCGGGCTGGATCCCCAGTGTGGGGCGTGCAGGAGGCAGCCGATCCATGATTCTCTCTCATCAGTGATGTTTCTCTCTCTCTCCCTCCCCCTTCCTCTCCAAAATCAATAGCAATAATAACAAAAACCCAACCCCTCCTGCACACACATCTCTGAACTCCAGCTCTGCGGCTCCTCGGTGCTGCCCAGTCCGAGGGGCGGGTGGCGGGGGTTTCCCCGCCGGGGTCCAGGCGGATGGTCAGGTCGCTGCTGGTCTTCTCGGGTTGACCTCAGCTCTCGGGCTCTGCGGGGTCCGGGGCAGGCAGCGCTGGGCTCGGCCGCGTGGGCCTGGCATTCATTATGTAAGCGGACAGGTCTGTGTTTCAAAATGAAAAATAATCATCATTAAAGTTCCTCTCGGCTCCTTGGGTCCAAACCACTCTTGCAAAACCACCTTCAGATGAGCTGTAAGTGTCAGCAAATCAGAAACATGTGGGTTTAATTTCCCTTGAAATTCACCAGGGGAGCAAGGAGGCAGCCGGCCTTGGCAGCGGCTTCTTCGGGTTTGCCAAACCCCAAGTATGTCACACTGTGTGCGAGCCCCGGGGCCGGCCCAGCGCTGACTTCCCCGCTGGGCCATCTAGGTTCCTCTGACCGGAGGCCGTCCTCTCGGTCCCTTCTATCGCCAGAGGGATGCTCTGACCACCGCCCTCAGCTTCCCAGGACCGGGGAGAGGGACCAAGACTGCGGGGAGATGTCAGGGGAGCTCCGGCCCACCGGGGCGAACGGGCCCTCTGTCAGCCTCACTGTGCCTTTCACACCCAGACCAACTGTGAGAGACGTCTCCCCAGCGTGACTGCCAGATGGGAAAATATTTTGCTTTACGGTGGGTGAGTCAGGTTCTGAAGGCGTGAGGTTTCGTGGTCAGGCTATAGCTCAGGCTATAATGTGAAACGTCCCTCTGCAGACCACAGCCCCTCCCCCTTCGGGCTCCGAGGTAGGTGAGGCCCCCAGACCCGCTTGGGAATAAAGGGGCAATGTCACTAAAGCAGAGAAGCCTCCAAGGCTAGGAGCTGGGACACGGCCCCCGGGTCCCGGCCACCAGTTTTGGAGTAAAGGACATGCCAAGAAGGTCGGGCCAGCAATGGACCTTCTGGTTTGTTATTTTTCTTTCGTGATATTAATGCCTCTCTTTTTCCTCCTATATTTTCTATGTCCAACAGCCTCTTTTGCCTAAAACAAATAATGCATATTAAATGCAAAGGGCAAAGTGAACCTTGAAAAGTCGTCTTTGCATTCAGAATAACGCCTGCCCCTGTGGCTGAGCGTGTCGCGTACAGACACATGCTGTCTCTGGTTACCGCCATCTGACCAAGGAGGCGACGGAGGCAGCCCCGGAGAGGCAGGGACACCAACGATCACACTCGGCTGCTGGGCTCCAGAAAGCGCGTTCCGTTCCTTCCAAAGCTCAGTGCTGCCTCTGACCACCGTGGTGGTTCCTGTCATGTGTGAGCTGGACTGGCCCACCGAGGGGTTTTGGGGTTTAGTGGCCGCTGGGGTGATCAGATCCATGTCGGGGCTGCACAGGGTTTGTGTTCGAGTGACTCGTTTGACTGAAACGGCCAGAAAGAGCGAGAGCGGGGACAGACACTCAGACGTGCCCGGAGCAGCCAGCAGGTGCTTCCGCGAAGGAAACGCGCAGGACGTCAGCCAGAGGGAAAGGCGCAGGCGTCGGGTCCGTGCTGTCGTGGTTTCAGGCGGCCGCTCGGCCGTGGGCGCACCCCGTGGATGGGGCGGGTGGCTCCCCAGGAGCGGGGTCCTCGGT